GTGTGTGTGTGTGTGTGTGTGTGTAAAAGTATGTATGTGTTTGTATGTGTATCTATTTCATATTCATATTTTGTTTTCTAAAATTTCAGATCACACTATCGTTATTGGAATTGTTAGCTCAATCGCTGTTGTGCTGGCTGTGGCTTTGGTGGTTGTTGTATGTCGGAAAAGGTAATTTTCTCCGTTGGTTTTACCGGTCCAGCGGTATATCTGTCGGGGCTTCACTGTCGCACACGGGATACCCGTGTTCGATTCCCGAGTGGGGAGAATTTTTATCAAGTACTCGTATCTCAGTCTTTCTGCTGGGATGTTGTATCCCTCTCAGATTGGTCTTGACAGGCAGGATCGAAGCCCGCCTTCTAAATGATCTAAGCTGTGTTGATGGGGCGTAAAAATGCCTCCATGGTTGTTTTTTGCTTTCTCTGGGCTTCTTTAAACTTAGCGTTTCTCCATATTGAAATTCTTTTAAAGAAAGTAATATGTATATCTACAGGTTCTTTTTTCATTCTTGTAAAGCTATGAAAAACTTCCCACAAGGGTAATAAAGCATAATATTATGTCTTATCTTATCTTATCTTTTCTTTTCTTTTCTTTTCTTATCTTCTCTTATCTCATCTTAGCATTTGAAAAGCAACAGACAGCAACTGTTTCCGCCTTTGTCACTGCTCAGTCGAATTTGATAGACGATGCGAATGCGTAAAAATAACGTGATAATTACGATAAGGAAGACGTCAGTACCCACCTGTTCTTATCAAACTGACACCTACACGGCGAACAATATAATTATGTGAGGTATCGTAGTGAAATCGGACGCTCGTCATAGTAATGAAATCGAAGAATCAACATTTTCCGCTCGACTGGCAATCTATATCGATTGTTTTTTGTTTGTTTGGTTGGTTGGTTGGTTGGTTCTTCTTGATTGGTTTGTTAATTGGGCTTTTTGGGGTGGGGTTTGTTTGTTTTTTTGGAGGGGAAGGGGGTTGTTGTTGGGTTGTTTGTTGGGTTTTGTTTTGTTTTGTTTTATTGTTGTTGTGTTGAATTGTGTTTTTTGTGGTTTGTTTGCTGGGTTTTTTTGTTGTTATTGGGTTGGGTTGGGGGTTTTTTTTGGGGGGGGTCTTCTTTGGGGTTTTTTTTATTTGTGGGGGTGGGGGGGGGGCTTAACGCCTTTTATGTCCACATTAAAACCCAATCCTGCAATAATTTTTACTTTAAAATACTGATCAAAGGCACAAAATTTATAAATTTATAGTTTCCAAGGACACTACTACTTTGGAAGTCAACAAACTTTGACGGTCATTTTCTCGCTAAATTTGCCTATGACACCAGGTGACTCCCATCTCCATAGATCCCAAATGTCTTACTTCTATTCAATATAAATGGATATTTTATTTTCATCAAACTCGAGGCAAACGAATAAGCTTTCAGATTATACCAATAATTTCATATGGTCAAAAACTGCGGAGCGCCTAATACCACCGTGTGGTACCACAAATGGGGATGTGGAAGTAGCTACCTGTGTTACTCTGTTACTTCGAGATTCATTGGGGGTTTTTTGGTTTTAGTAAAGGTTTTACGGCGCTCACAACTGCATAAGGCCATATGAGCGCTTGATACATTGTTATAGCCATATAATCATTTAGAAAGAGACGAAAAAGAACTTCCTCTCGTACCTTTTAAATACGAAGTAAGACGGCACGATACGAGTCAAACTTTATCAAGCCATGAGTTCCATCATGTAGTTGTCGCATATAAGCGTAGATCTAGGTCGAGATGACTCTGTCTATTTCTTTCATGGGGTTTTTTTTTTTTTTTTTTTTTTTTTGAAGAACCCAATTAATGTTGTTACCCAATTACCAAAATTAGTATCTTTGATGAAATTGATGATGAATTCTTCACAAGGGTTCAATAGTCTTAGGCTCAAAATGAAGTCGCCAGGCGTGTAGAAAAAATCTGCCTTGCAAAAGCTAGTATAGCCCACCAGCGCCTATGGTTTGAAGATTAGGCTCTTCAGTACTTGCAGGCAGAGGAAACAGATTCGACACACCTGAGTGGGGATGTCTGTGAATTGGGGGGGAGGGGGAGGGGGGAAGAGGATTTGGGGGAGGGGAAAGAGGAGTGTTTAGTGGAGGGGAACTGGG